TATATATATATATATATATATATATACATTTCCATCGAGACGTGAAAAACATGAACTTTAATTTTCAAACGTTGGAAATGGAGATTCTCTGGAGAGGAGTTTTTGGCCGGAACGGAAGTTTAATTCGATCTCACCTTTGCCAAACCTGCGGTTTGCTTTCGCGTTCGAAGCGAGGGGAGGGAGGGGGGGATGGATGGATGGATGGATGGATGGATCGCTTCTTCCCTCTCCCCCCTCCCCTCCCTCCCATTAACGAAATTGGTCCTCTCTCGTTTACTGCTTGAATTCGTTTCTCGTCTGCCTGTTATCGGAGAAATCTAGAACGTGGTAGAGGCGTGCTTAGAGGAGACTCGATCTCGCGTAGGAACGCGACCTTGGGAGGGGGGAGGGAGGGAAGGAGGAGGAGGAGGAGGGGAGGAGAATCGAACAGCGGGAAATAATAACCGCAGCCACGCGCAATTAGACCGCAGTATCCGCGTACTTGAATCGCGTAACCGATTTTAATGAAAAGAACGATTATCACGCGCGATAAAAAGGAATTTTCTCGTCGACCGAAGTTTTTCCAATTTAAGATTCAGATATTTTTGGAAATCTCGATGAAAAACAAATTGTTTCGTATAATTCGTATAATTTAAGTTAAGCAAAAAAATTTCTCGATTAAATTTCTAAGTTTTATTAAAAGATAAGGAGGAGAAGAAAAAAAAAAAAAAAAAACGTTTGAAATACTTTTAGCCATTGCGTTGTTCGTAAGCTCTCCCCCCTCCCGTTTTTCGAGTAGTCAATCATCTCGTTTGAAATTTCCTTAAATCCGGGAATATCGAATCGCGGTACACGAGCGCGTACGACGCAACGACGATTTAATTCAGCTCATTGGAACGGCAACGCGGAGTGGCGCGCACGTTGGAACGAGTAACGCCGGCCCGTAGAGGCGTTCGATTCGTCGTCCCTGATAGCTGAACAACCCTCGAGAACCGGTAGCCGGAATAGCCGCAACCCCGTTCGAGCCTATGCGCGGCATATATATGTATATATGTATATGTATACCGCATACAACCCTCCCGCCACATCCTGTGACTACGAATGGAATATTCACTGCGGCCTGCACAACTCGCCTCTCACAGGTCGCAGACCTCTATCCGCAACCTCTTGAAAATTTTCACCTATCTTTATACGCGGCCCGTACACGATAATATCGATTGGGCAGAGCTTTGAACGAGGGCGTTGATATGATACATAATTATAAATTTCTCGATCTCGATGAGATCGTTTTTTTTTTTTTAAATAAAATAATATTCTCGAAAATAAAAAAATATATTGACGATATGTTTTTATTTTAGGAAAGGTTTTTGATCGTTTAATAATAATTTCTCGAATAAATTAACAATATTTTCGAAAATCAAAATATATTGACGATATGTTTTTATTTTAGAAAAGTTTTCAATCGTTTAATAATAATATTTCTCTCGCAGACCCGAATTTAATTATTTCTGATTGGGGATTTTGTCCGTCGCGCGAGATCAATGCGAGTAAGTAATTGGAAATCAGGAGTTTGTTTTTCTCCAACAAACAAAATGCTGTCCAAATCCTTTATGATATTCTTCTTTATTCTTAATTTAATTTTTCAAGCTCGTGATAATTTCATCAATCGAACAATGGAATTGGAAAATTAGATCGAGGCAAATCGATCTTTTTTTTTCTTTCGAAAAATTAAATCGGCCTTCGTTTCCGATTCCCGCCAACAAAATTCTTTATGATATTCTTCTTTATTCTTAATTTAATTTTTCAAAAGATTCGTAATAATTTCAATGATCAATTATTTTCACAGCAACGGAATTGGAAAATTAGATCGAGGCAAATCGATCTTTTTTTTTCTTTCGAAAAATCAGATCAGAACCTTCGTTTCGATTTCCATCGTGCGAATAAACGTTCCGATATCAACGACGATGCCGGAAAAAAAAAAAAAAAAAAAAAGACGAGATAATCAAGAGAAAACGAAGAAGAGCATAAAATCGTATCTATACACCTCTACTTTCCCTAATTTCATTCATCCATCGATCGACGAATGCGTTATTATCAAAAATGTAATAAGTGATAGACGCGTGATAAGAAGTACCGTATGTGGAGCGTTCGATCGAGAAACGAGAACGAGAACGAGAAATTACGCGTTCGAGATAAATTGGCGGCGAGGAGGGGATGCGCGATCGATGCTTTTTCCCTCCTTTGCTCGATCGATCGCTGGAAAATTAAAGTCTCCGCTCTATAACGAGGAACGACGACGGACGACGAACAACGGACGAGACGAGAGAAAGATTTCGATATTCATCCGATATATACAGACAGAATTCCCGGCACGTAGCTAATCTTGACGCGTCCGCATCAACAACCTCGATTTCGAATAATACAAGGGAGAAAAATGATATCGGTCACGCCGTTCATCGATTTTTCTCCCCTCTTCTTTCCCTTCCTCTCTCTCTCTCTCTCTCTCTCTCTCTCTCTCTCTCTCTCTC